TGTCCATATATCTGCGAGTCGTACCACGTAGGCTCTGCTTAGGAGATGACACAACCGCAGCCCTCGGCGGCCGGCTCGGCGGGTCCCAACAGAGCGGAGAAGGCCTTCTTCTCCTGGCCCTCCTTCAAGAGCGTGACTGGCAGCACCGACGGTCGCTTCCACTTCTTGAGGTACAGCTGGGCGAGCATAAAGGCCGTCGTGCGGGCTTCCCTTGGCGCGTCCTTGCCGATCCAGCAAAAGCACTGGAAGCCGTCGTCGAGCAGCATCACGCGCGAGCTGTCAAGGCGCGAGGAGGGCGGTGCCTTGCCCCTCCACACGACGCGAAAGTGTGGCGTGTCTCCGTCGGCCGTCACCTTGAGCAGAAGCGGCTCGAATGCCTTGACGTCGCCGTCGCTCCCGCCGGCGGACTCGTCCTGGATGGAGATTCGGCTCACTCTGAGGCCCAAAAATCGCCGCTCGCCAGGCAGGTGCCGCCAAAAGCCGTGATTGGAGCACTCAGGGCTCGTGCCATCACCCTCGGGCGTGCCCTCATCGAGCACCTTTGTGTCTCGGTGCTTGTCCTGCTGGAGCAGCCGGCAGAGCTCAGAAGCCTTGGCTCTCTCGTGGGCGCTGGACTCCTTGCCGTTCCATTGGTAGATGCACTGCGGCGTGTCCATCACGTAGCAGTCCCCGGAGTTCATCACCGTTCTGCTGAGCTTAACCTGTCGCATGGCGACGTTGCCAGCCAAGCCCTTGATCCGCAGCAGCACGGGCTCGCGCTCTGCAGCATCGTCGACGTGCTTGAAGCCGGAAGCGGTGCCTCCGGCCAAGTAACGCAGTCCCTGTGGGAACAGCCTCGCGAAACGATCGCTCTCGCCGCCCTCGACCTCGCGATACTGCACTGCGCGGCCGCTCAGCTTGTCGTCAAGCTCCACCGTCTTGTAGGCCGCCGTACCGTATTCGTCTTGGGTCGATTCGCTGCCGATCCAAAAGTGCACGTCATGGTCAAGCTTCATCGAGGCTGGGTCCTTGAGGTATGTGCGCAGCACAATATACGAGTCACCGCGGTGAAAGCGACCGTACTTGTACTTGGGCCACGGCACAACCTTGAACTGCTCCATGCGCCAGACTTGTATTCCCGCGCTTTTCCCAACGTCGATCCATTGCGGCTCACCGTCGGCTGCGGCCGCCTTGCACTTCCTCTCGATCTCTGAGCCAAAGTTGGCCAGGTTTGTGTCCTGCCAGTCGAGCTGCTTCGGCATCACCTCTCGGCCGGCGGCTTGCTTCAGCTGGGTCGCTTTTAGGCCTTTCAAAAAAAGAAATGAAAGCAAATAAATAAACAGAAGTCGTCTCACAGCTGGAGGCAGGTCACTAGACTGAGATGAGACCGCCAGTGGATGTGGGAGTCCACCGTGCACCGCGCTGCGAGCCTGTCGTGTCCCTTGTCAGGAGCAGGAGAGCCCCACCTGTCCCCCTGATCGTCCTTCCAAAATCCTGCTCGTGCAGGTGGGGACCCTGTCCTCGTCCCATCCCTCGTTTGGCGTGTCTGTTTTCTTTCTTTCTTTCTTCGTCTCGTGAAGAGAGTCCCCGCACCCACAGGACCAACGAAGCTGGAGCAAAGGATATCAAAGTGAGAGATCGTGAAATTTGCAAATCAATAATAAAAGAAACCGCTGTCCGCACTCGAGTCCGCGCGCCGCGCAATGGCGCGGTTCTAGCTACTTCCAGTGCTGCTGGCTGATGCGCTTGGTGCCCCACTGCGCTGCAGCTGGCTCGGCAGGTGCCGGCGTGTCGCTGTCGGCCGGCTCCTCGTCAAGCGCGGGGCGGGAGGGCATGCACTTTGGCGCGGCGGGCAGGAGGCTCGAGAAGGCCTTGGACAGCTTCTGGATCAGCGTCGGTGGCCCCTCCTCCTCCTCGGGAGCGACCGCGGGCGCCGCCTCGACCGCCGCCTCGGGCGCCGCCTCTGGAGCAGCCCCTGGAGCAGCCTCAGGCGCAGCCTCGGCCGCAGGCTCCGGAGCCGCGACCTCGGCAGCCTCGGCAGCCTCGGCCGCCGCGGCCGCGTGGCTGTAGGCGAGCCGTGCCTCGACCTCAGCAAGCTCCTCTGGCGTGACGCTCATCTCGCGGGCGAGGCCCGCCTCTCCCGCCGCCAGGGCGTATGCCCGCCACTCGACGCGAGCCTCCTCTTGCTCGGCGTCGTCGCGCTGGGCGACCGCATCGACCGCCCCAGTCAGCGCGCGTGCGACCGGCTGCTCCGCCTCCGCCGCCGGCGCGTCGGCCTCCGCCGTCTCGACCGCCTCGGTCTCCTCGACAGCAGGCTCAGACTTGCGGCCCGAGAGGTAGTCGACCACCTGGCCCAAGATGGAGGACGACTTGACCGGCTCGGTCGGCGGAGGCACCTCGTCGGCCGCCTCGGCAGGCGCCTCCTCGGCTGCGCTGTCCTCGGCCGCGGCCTCTTCCTTGGGCTCCTCTGCAGCGGGCTCCTCCGCCTCGGGCGTCACGGTCGAGGGTGCAGCCGCCGCGTCGGCGGCGGGCGTCTCGGCGGGCGCGACGTCGGGCGTGGCGACGACGGCGGCGGTGTCGGCGGGAGCGCTGATCTGCTCCGGCTGCATCACTGGGTCGGCGATGTTGCTGGTCGACTTGGAGCTGCAGGCACCCATGGTTCGCTTGCGTTTGTTGTGATCGGCTGACTTCCTTGCGTCGTGCGTCCTTGGGAACGTGGCAAGTTCGAGAGGTTGTAAACGAGCCCTCATAGAGGCATTTATTTCTGCGATAAACGGAAGGCACCTTCATCCCGCGTTGGAGGGTAGACCGTCCTCGTTTGCGTCGCGCCGCTTCGCGAAGGTGCCATGTATCCTAAACACCCAGCCGTGCTCGCCCGCCTCTGCGGTCCCTGGCGGCCACGCGATCGAGATACCCTGATCGGTGCTCTCATACAGTACGTGGGCATCTCCGTGCCCGAGCATCCGAACCTCGCCGCCTCCGCTCTTGTCCACGCGAATATTCGAAATGCGAAGTGGCGACAGCTTTTGTAGGGCGACGGCGTACACGACGCTCCTCTCTCGTGCCGGCGTCGTGAATCGAACCATCTTGCCCTCGCCGTGCGCATGCTGCGCGCGCTTCACCCCATAGATTGCCTCACCATTCACCAGCAGCCACCTGCCGATGTCACGGAGCCGGCTCACAGATTCCGCGGGGATCACGCCATCAGCCGCAGGGCCCACGTTGAGCAGGTAGTTGCCGCCCTTGGACGCGACGTCGACCAGGTTACGGAGCAGCTCGGACGTGGTCTTCCAGTTGGAGTCATCCTTGGTGAAGCCCCAGTTGTCATTTATTGTCATACAGCTCTCCCAGTCGTAGCCTTCGACTTCCTTCAGAATCTCCTGCTCTGGCGTTCCAAAGTCGCCCGCCGCGTGCTTGTACCTGTTCATGCCTTGGTGGCCCTTCCGCGCTTTGCTGAGTCGGTTATTGACGAGGAGTGACGGCTTGAGGCGGCGGAGGAAGTTGTAAAGCTCGACACCCTGCTCCTCAGACCACGCCTCGATCCAGTCGCCGTCGAACCAGAAAAGCGCCGGGTCAAACTTTGCAGTGAGCTCCTGCAGTTGCGGCTTCATGTACTCCTCTCGGTATCGAGACCAGTTGGCGCGCGCGGGAGGCGTGTTGAGATGGTTATACTTGCGCAGAACAGCGTCCGGATGGTGCCAGTCCATGATGGAGTAGTACAGGCCGAGTGCGATGCCAGAGCCCCTCAGCGCGTCCTTGAGCTCCTTCACAATGTCACGCCGGAAGGGTGTGGCATCGATCACGTCGTAGGATGTGTATTGGCTGTCCCAGAGGCAAAACCCGTCATGGTGCTTCGTCGTGATCACCAAGTAGCGAACGCCCGCGGCCTTGGCCGTTGCGACCCACTCTGACGCGTTGAAGCTGCGAGGAACGGGCGGTGTGGGTGAACTGGTGAGGGTGAGCGTGAGGCTGCCATGCGGGCGCACACCCGACTGGGTTGAACTGCTCGGCGTACTTTGCGTACTCGCGGTCTGGGATGCGGGCACTGTGCATGATCCACTCACTCGTCCCACGGCCGACTCTGCGCCCCTTGTGGTATCCTGCCGGGATGGCAAAGAGGCCAAAGTGGACAAAGAGCCCAAAGGTGGACTCGCGCCACCAACGCATGCGCTGGTCCTTCTCCGCGCGAGTCTCGCTACGCATGTCGTGCCAGCACGCCTTTGTCTCGGAAATGCTCGAGGGAGGTAGGCAACCGTGGGTGGCGACGCCAGTTCGTGTACGTCAGCAAATGGCGCCGCGCTCGTAAGCCGGCGAAGTTAGCGGTCCTTTTTCGCTCATTTGTCGGTGAGTACTCTCTCTCTCTCTCTCTCTCTCTCTCTCTCTCTCTCTCTCTCTCTCTCTCTCTCTCTCTCTCTCTCTCTCTCTCTCTCTCTCTCTCTCTCTCTCTCTCTCTCTCTCCGTCTCCGCGCTCTCTCCCCCTCCCCCCCCGGTGTACGTGGAACGTGGTTTTAGCTTAATTGGAGAAAAGGGAGAGGGGTGTGTTCTCTCTCTCTCTCGGTGTACAATACATCGCGCACACCACACCGAGAGAGAGAGAGAGAGAGAGAGAGAGAGAGAGAGAGAGAGAGAGAGAGTACTCACCGCGACTTAAATGAGCGAGAAAAAAAGGACCCCTAGAACGGCTTCGCGCCGGCTTGAGAACGAGCGCGGCGCCATTTGCTGACGACACGAACTGGCGTCGCCACCCACGGTCGCCTACCTCCCTCGAGCACTTCCTGTGTGTGTGTATCTACAGACCACACAGATCACAAATTCTCTCGTCCTCAGAACCCGAGCCAAACAGGGACACACACATGATGACGCCCGTCCCACAACTCACAGAGAGTCCAGGCGAAACAGACAGGCGTTCTCCCACCCCGCCCCCTAAGGTACCACCAAACACAACACGCCGAGGAACCCTCGCTCCAGCTCCATGCGACGTAGCACCGTTCTCACTTCCGTTCGACCGTGGGTTGCTCCTCGTTGTGTGCTGCCAGCGTCAGTCAGCTGCGTGACAAGCGCGACGGTCCAGCTGAAGACGCAGTCGATGAAGGCAAAGAAGCCACGCCAAAGAGGTCGCGCACGTGGCTGGCGAGGCAGGGCGGCTCGGGCACCATGCGCGGCCCCATCGCGGCCGCACCACCGTAGCACGCGTCGAGCCATATCTTGAGCTCGTGCAGATGGCCGCCCTTGGCGAGGCGCAGCAGCGTCGCGTCGTGCTCGGCGCGCTTCGCGAGGAAGGCCTGATAGTCGATCTGCGCCGCGCTCAGCTGCTCTTGCGCGGCGATCGCGCTGGGGCGGGCGTCCTCGAGGCCATCGGCGGTCTGGCAGAGCTCGACGAAGAGGTGCATGCGCGTCGCCACGTCCAGCGGCACGCAGACGTGCGTCGGCTGCGACGCCGGGTCGACGCAACGCGGGCAGCAATCGAAGCCGCAGCTCCGGCAGCCCGCATACATGCCCTCGATGGGCTGGAGGCAGAGGTCGCAGAAGCGGCGCTCGCGCTGGGAGCGTTGGAGCGAGAGCGGCTTCTCGCAACGGCTCATGACCTGCCCATAGACACGACGAGAGTGGTGAAGCAGGGATGGTGAGACTTCAAACAGCGGGGGGGCGCCCGGGTTTCGATCCGTGTACCTTGGAGAGGAAGTCTTGCTTCTCGTCGTCCTCTTTGGCCGAGTTGCCGAGCAACCCGCCCGCAAGCAGCCCAACCAGCGCCGAGTTGTGCATATTCTCGACGGGGCCGAGACGCACGCCGGTGGCGGTGGCGAGGTGCTGGTCGATGAAGCGGAACAGGGCCGTGTTGGCAGAGCTGGCCGACTCAGCATTGTGGCGGCGCAGCTCGTGGTCTTGGAAGAGCTGTAGGTAGACGTTGGTGAAGCGCCGCTCGGCGTCGGTGACCATGCTGACGCTGGCTTGTCGGAGGGCCTGCGACTCGTCGGACTGTGGGAGCGCCTTGCGGCAGAAGGCGGCCGCCTCTTTGCACGCCTGCTTCTCGGTCTCGGAGTGCTCGCGCTTGATGACGCAAGCGCCGTGCTCGGTGGCGCGGGCGTGGAGCTGCGCCAGCGGCAGCAGACCGAGAAAGGCCGCGCCGCGAAGGGCGTCGATCTGATAATCGGCCGGCGCGACGAGGAGAGCCGAGCACATTGGCGCAGGCAAGGCCAGCCAGGCGCACGCATTCTCCGTGCAGACGGACTTGTGATCCTTGCTTTCGACCGGCCGTCCTAGGATGTACTTGAGGGCATCCTCTGTGCATTTCAGGCCCTCGCGTTTCTCGATCTGCTTTCCAAGCGCGGAGCCACGCAGGATTGCCACCTCGGAAACGCATCGAAAGATCACGCTGCGCTTCCCGAGACCGAGCATCATGGTGCAGGTCTCGCGCGGCGTCAGCGTCTCACAGATGTGGAGCATGACCTCGTGCGGCAAGTCGTGGATGCCGACAGACACGGCACGCCGCTGCGAGAGGCGGCGAGCCTGGCTCATCAGTGAGGAGGCACCCCCGCCCGGACCAGTCCGGTTCTCTGACTGCCTGACCGGGCGGGGTCCTCGATAAGGGTACCGGGTACCGGCGACGGCATCGATGTTGTCCGCCCGAGCGTGACTCGCCCCTCCACGATTTGCCGTCCACGGCCAAACCGATAACCAGACAATGAACATCGCACATCGGTCATCGCGCTCGTCACCGGCAAATTGAGAGAGGACGAAACAACGAACGCGACGAGAGACTACGGGGTGTGGACCCTGAGTTGACCAGGGGTTGTGCGCTGGGCCCTCCTGCTCGGCTCCAGCCAGTAGACAAGTCTTGTCATCAACAGAGTAGAAGGATCTGACCTCGGGGCCGATGTGACCAAGCGCTGGTAGCGTGGTTTGACCTCACACCCATGGTCTCACAGTGTGCCGGCAGTCGCCGAGCAGTGTCGCTCACACAAGCCGCAGCACAAGTGACTGAGGGCCAGTGAGGGCGAGCCCATCGCTGTCACAGCTGTAGCAGCCGCACAGTAGGCTGTGTCAACTGTGCAGAGTGTGTGAGCAGCAGACTGAGCCCTGGCTGTCAGGCTGTCAGGTGCTGTCAGGTGATCTGTCGGGCTGTCGGGCAGCTGTCAGGCACTGTCAGGTGCCTCTGTCAGACCAGCTGTCGGGTGCTGTCAGTGCTGTCGGGTGCTGTCGGGTGCGTGTCTGACATCAGAGGGGATCTGTAGCTGTCGGGTGCTGTCGGAGCTGTCGGGTGTTGCTGTCAGACGCTGTCGGAGCTGTCAGAGCTGTCAGGCTGCTGCTGCTGTCAGACGTTGGGCTGTTGCTGTCAGGTGCTGTCAGGTGGTGCTGTCGGGGTGCTGTCAGGCTCTGACACACACCAGCCACACTTATGACATTATCAAGAGGAGACCAGCAGGACTCTGCTACACATACATACTCTAGTCTCTACTCTGCCTCCGGTCCCACCATCTTCTTCATGGTGGACGTCACCATCTTCTTGTCTGCCGCACTGAGAGAATAGCAGAGAGGCAGGGGGGAGTGCTTCTTCAGGTACACCTTGCTGATGATCTGGTAGTTGCTGGTCCAGCGGAAGGCCTCCCCATCGTTGTCGCTCGTCAGCTTGTAGTACTTGCACGCTCTGTTCTTGTAGCGCGGGCCGTCTGGGGGGGTCCCGTCACCCTTCACCTCACGGTACCACCGGAGGATAAAGAGGCCCTTGGGGTCGTTGATGAAGACCCCGTTGCTGCGCTGACTCATCGAGAGCTGGCGCAGGTACTCTGCGCTCGAGCTGCCAGTGGCGCGGCGCGCGTCTACCGTGCCGTCGGCGACGGCCACGGGCCACCTGCTCGATGTTGCCAATGGCAAAGACCTTGGAGCTGTCCTCCATGGTGAAGAGCACCGCAACTGCGGAGAGAAAGAGAAGAGGGAGAGATGAGAATGCACGTCTTATGTGTGTGTGTGACAGGCGGCAAGGGCGTGGTCACCGTCATCATCATCCATGTAGAAGTCGAGCTCCTCATCCACATCCTCGCCTCGCTGCTGATGGGACTTGATGAGCCGCTTGACGTGGAAGCGGAGCTTGCCATCCTTTGACTCCTCCTGGATGGAGACGTTGAAATCTGCCAGCAGCTTACGGATCTCCTCAAAAAACTCTGCGCTGCTGCCCTCCTCGCCGCCGGTTGGAGGAGCCACGTTGGCCCCCGTCCGCATCAGCTGGTTCAGCACGGCCTCGGCATCTGCAGCATCCTGTGCGCCCATGGCGGTCAGCTCGGCCGGCTCAGCATCGGGTGTGCCGTTTGGATCATCCTCCTTCTCTCCCGGCTCCTCCAGCAACGCGCCACCCTGGACATAGGTGTCAGCCAGAGGAAAGTGCAAGCACGGCTGCTTGAAGAAGCCGGTCTGTGCACAGAGGTTGGCGCGGACTCCACAGAATCGAAGGCGCGGACCACATACACATGTCTTTGCATGTAATAGTTTTGCTATACCCTCATGGGACACAAGAAAGAGGCTGCACGGCCTGAGACGGTCTGTGCTGCTGTCGGGCTGGTCGGGCTGTCGGGCTGTCAGCGCTGCTGTCAGGCCGCTGTGTGCTGTCGGGCTGTCGGGCAGCTGTCAGGCTGTCACGTTAGGGCCTGACAGCGACGGGACGCCTCTGATGTCAGGCTCTGCTGTCAGGCTGTCAGAGACGTGCTGTCAGACTGTCGGAGAAAGTGCTGTCAGCGCTGTCAGGCTGTCGGTCACTGTCAGGCGCTGTCCGGGGTTTGCTGTCAGGCTGTCAGACCAGGGCTCAGGCAGCAGAGGAGCTGCTCTCCAGGCTTCAGGGTTCAGGCGCAAAGAGCTGCATGCCACCGAAGGCGCTGTCGAGGTTCGCCGAGCGCGGCGCAGGTTGGGGGAAGCCGCCACCGACGAGCGCGTTGGACTTTTCACTCCGGACAGAAAACGCGGCACAGCGGACGGTGCGGGGCGTGCCGCAAACTTAGCGCATAGCGCATAGCGGCGAGGCGCGGGACCGGGTCTGTGGCGAAGTGGGTCGCGTCCCCCGATTTATCCACTGGGACGAGTCAATTCATTCACTAGAATGACTAGAAAGGGCACCCATGGGGGGTGATCGCACGTCAACCCAGCATCCACACCCTTTAATTACTCTACGGCTCAAGAGAACGAGCCGAACTATACGGGGCTGGCGACCCACTTGCTACTCTCCACGCGCACCCAGCTCCAGGCACTCCTCCAGCTGCGACACCTGGTCGAGCAAGCCTGTCCCCACGAGAACTAGGCCTATTGTAGCGGCCGAATCGCGCGCGGTGGCGAAAAGGTTGGGGCCGGGCTCCGACCCGATCGCCTCGCAGATGCGCTTGAGCCGCAGGGGGAGGGGCGTGGTCGCCGGTGCCGCTGGCGCCACCGGCGTCAGAGCGCTATTGCGCTCAGGGAGGGGGGAGGCGATCCGAAGGAAAGACCCGCCCCCCTCCGCCGCCTCCCGCGCCGCCGCCTCCCTCTCCTTCACCGCCGCCTCCTTCGCCGCCCTCCTCACCTCCGCCACCCGGCGCGACTCCACCGCCCTCCTCCTCGCCGCGCCAGCCACCACCGCCGCCGCCACCGCGGCCCTCGCCGCCCTCCCCGCCGCTCGCCCCTTGGCTGCCGCCACCGCCTCGTCCGCCTCCGCCGCCGCCGCCGCCTCCGCCTCCGCCGCCGCCGCCGCCCTCGCCGCCTCCTCCGTCGCCAACACCACCGCGGTCGCCACTCTCCGGCTCGGCTGCGCCACCCGCACCGAACCCGCGCTCCCCGCACCCGCCGCACCCGCCGCACCCGCCGCACCCGCCGCCGCACCCGCTGTCGCCACCGCTTGGACCTGGCCGTCGGCCGCCGCCGTCGCCCGCGCTCGCGCTTGGGCGCCCGCCGCCACCTCGGCCTCCGCTTGCGCGATAAGCGCCCGCTGCCTTCTCTCCTCCGTCGCCTGGGCCTCCCGTTCCCTCACGAGCCGCGCCGCTGCCGCCGCCTCGGCGCGCGCCTGCCTCTCGAGCCTCTCCCGCTTCTCGTCACGTGCGCGCTCGGCCGCCGCCGCCCGCTGCTGTGCGACGAGCTCGGAGAGGGTGAGCGTCCGAGACGCCTCCTCCGCTGACTCCTCCTCCTCTGACGACGACTCGTCCACAACCTCCGCATTCTCTCGACTGTCTGCCCGCGAGGGCGGTGGCGCCGGCTCCGACGCCTCCGCGGCGGCGGCGCCCTTCCGCTTCGGCTTCCCAAACCCGTTCCTCTTCTTCTTGTTAGCCTTCTTGGCGGGCGCGGGCGCCGGCGCCTTGCTGGCCTCCTCCGAGTCAATCAGCTCCGCGGCGAGCCTCTGCCTCCGCTCCGCCTGCGCGCGGCACGGATGAATGGGGGAGGAGTTGTGTGTGCACTAGCCGACCGGTGCCGACGGTGCCGGTCGGTGGTGTCTGCGCGCCTCTGCAATGTCCTCCGCCGCTGCACGCAGCGCCTCCTCCGCCTCGGCGCACCGCTCCTTCTCCTTGGTGCGCGCGCTCAGCTTGGCCAACGCGCGGCGGCGCCTCTCCTCGCGGCGGGAGAGCGGCGCGCTCGCCGGCGCGTCACCCGCGTCCAGCAACGCCTCCTCAACTGTGCGAGGCCGGGCCGGCTCCGTCGGCGGATGCTCTGGCGACCGTGGAGGCGAGGAACCGGCAGCCGTCGGCGGCTCAGTCGGCGGCTCCTCCTCCTCTGCGCCTACAGAGCCGGAGCCGCCATCGCTGACCTTCGTTCGGGGTACGCATGCCCGCCGACCACGCCCTCGCCATGGTAGAAATCGATCACGTCGCCATCCTCCATGTCCACCTGAATAGGGTCCGGCGGGTCATCGCGTGTGGTCCAGCGCCGCAGGCGGAAAGAGGCCAAGGGCGGGGCGCCGCACCTCGGCCGGCGTTTGGTCGCTGCGGAGGCGCTCGCCATCGAAGACGAAGCGGACCTCGTCCTCGGCCTTGCCTTGGCGCTCGCAGAAGGCGCGCATGAGCTTAGACAGCGGCGTCGTCTTCTTGCACTGCCGAGCGAGGCGCGGGCATCGGCTCGGGCCAAAGAGACGGTGCAGCCGCCGCAGAGGCAGGTGCCGCCGCGGCAGCAGAGGGAGAGAGGGGCGGCGGCACTGGGAGCATGCGGGGGGGCGAGGCGGCGCACGCGCCTTGAAGAAGACTTCTGCGCCGTCCTCCCACGCCCCCTCCCCGTTGCCGACGCCGGTGGTGGAGTGTGCGTCGCCCAGCGCGCGGTTCGCATCCGCCGTCCCGCCGTGCGTCGACGGCTCGCCAATGCGCTGCCACCCCGCTGCAGCATCCGGAGGGAGGTAGCGCCTGCGCTCGATCACCTTGAGGTTGATCGAGAGATCTACCTTCGTGTTGATCACGTCGCCATCCGCCAAGTCCGCCTGTGACGGGAGGGGCGGGCCGTCGAGGAGAGGCGGCGCGGCGCAGGGGCGTAGCGGCGCCAGCACAGGGGCGCCAGGGTACAGGGGAGCGCAGGCACTGAGACTGCGCAGGCACTGAGACTGCGGCGGCGGGCGGCTCGCCTCCTCTGGCGTCTGGTCGCGCTGGAGCGGCGTGCCGTTGAAGAGGAAGCGGACGTCGTCCATGGGCTGGCAATGGCGCGCGCAAAAGGCGCTGAACACCTTGGACAGCGGCGTCGTCCTTTTGCACTGCGGAGGCGCAGAGCGGTTGGCTCAGTCGGAGAACAGTGCAGCCGAGGCGCGGCGGACGGGAGGGGCGCGGCGGTGGTGCGGGAGGGGAAGGAGCGCGCGAAAGGGTGCGAGGGGCGAGGGACGGCGAGCGGCGAGGGGCGAGGGGGGTGGCGAGGGGCGAGGGGGTGGTGAGGGGTGAGTGGTGCCTTGTAGAAGATTTCGTTGCCCGCCTCTGTGACCAGCTTGAGGGTGATCTTCGGGACATCAGCGCGTGCCGCCGGCGCGGGTGCGGCGGGCGCGGCGGGCGCGGCGGGCGCGGCGGGCGCGGCGGGCGCGGCGGGCGCGGCGGGCGCGGCCGAGCCTGCCACTGATGATGGTGAGGCGCCCGGTGCGGCATCCTGCACGAGTGCCGGAAGTGGCAACATGACGCCCTGCAGCATCTCCGAAAGTGGCATGCCCGACATCGAGAGGTATGTATCGCACATCTCGTCGCTGTTGAAGGAAGCCTTCACTTTCGAGATCAGACTCTCCGCGGCATCATACAACGTTGCGATACGCCCCGGCTCGATGCCGCGGCATCTATGAACGGCGGCGATTGCATTCGCTACTGCCTGCGGATCGGGCCCGTCTTTCGCACGGCCCCGTGCCATTAGGGCCGCCACCAGCGCGTTGACCGCCGCAAGACGCGTTGGGTACTCCGCGTCCTCCTCCTCCCCCGCTGCCGCTATCTGCGCCTCGGCCAGCGCCATCCTGGCCACCATCCACCTTTGGGTTCCTTCCATGAGCCCATCGGGGAGGCTTTCCCCGAACGCCTCCCGATACAAGTCCGCCGCAAGCTGCCGCGGAGGCAGTCGAAGATTGAGTTGTGAAACACGCTCCTCCGGGTCCGCCGCACCCTCGGCAGCATCGCCGTTGCCGACGCCGGCGGTGGAGTGTGCGTCGCCCAGCGCGCGGTTCGCATCCGCCGTCCCGCCGTGCGTCGACGGCTCGCCAATCCGCGCGGCGCAGCGGGGAGCTGCAGCAGCAGCAGCATCCGGAGGGAGGTAGGGCCGCAGCTTGAAGATCCGCGCGCGCATGTCCTTGGTGGACGTGTCGTCCACGCCGTATTGCGGCGCGGACGCCTCGCTCTGCAGGCGAACCGTGACGCGGCCCTCGCTGTAGTCGCCGATGACCCGCGCGATCCGGCCGTTTAGCTCGGCTCGATCGAATCCGTCGAGAAGGACGAGTCCGTCGCGCAGTCGGCAGTCGGCAGGGAGGTGGGTGTCCGCGCTCGCTCGGCCGCCGATGACATGGATGATCTGAGCCAGCATAATCTCGGTGGGGTCCCGCGCGCCTTCCATCGCATTTCGCCAGGCGCTCAGCAGCGCCGGCAGCGCTCGTTGGAGGGCGGCATGCGTGTCGAAGAGGTCGACGCTGTACGCAAAGTACGCCGTGAGAGCATCGTAGGCCGCTGCGATCGCGCCCACTGAGACGTGCTTCTGCAGCTCGTTGCAGAGTTTGTGCCACGACGGCTCGATGCCGTTTACGATGGCCTCAGCGACGTATGTGTGGATTGTGTCCTTGCAGCCAGCCTCAACCAGCGCTGGCTCCAGATCCTGCACCGCAGCGGGACTCGCCGGGTAAGGGAAGAGGGAGAGCCTGACCATGCTTGGCTGCCCGAGGTTGGGAGGAAAAGAATGTCGTGGCCGGTTTTTTAGGTATGTTGTTCGCAAATCGAGACACAGAGCTCACACAGTGTCGTTGCGTGTATGTCGTTGCCTGTGGTGTCGGAGAGCTCTCGAGGTCTCGACGGGCAGCCTGACCCCTCCCCACCGATGTGTATTTTTTCTCTGCCCGATTGCGCGGTGCCTGCAAAAAAGAATCTGTGCGCTGTTAGCTAGTGAGCTCATACGCCGCCAAGTGCAAAGAAAACGCTGGCGTTCGGTGTAGACGACGGATAGAGGTACAGCAGCTAAATCTCGACCCTCTCGCCTCCGATGTCTCATAGTACATAGACTCAGGCGAGCGTCGACGTACACTCTGAATTTCTCTCGATGTCTCGAGACACAGCTCGCACGACGCCTCGCAATATCGTCCAATCCGCAAGCTCGGCTTGGGACATTCGACAGCGAGTCCCACAAGGCGCCACTCACAAGGCGCCACTCACTCACGCCCCCGCTGGGTAAGCACCTGCGGCGCGTCTGGTCTGCTCACAAGCTGCAGCAATTTTTTCTTTGTTTTCTACCCAGAGGGGTGGTTGAGGGGTTGAGGGTTGAGGCCCCCCCTCAACCATCTGGTTGACGGTTGAGACCCCCCCCTCAACCCTTTAGTTGGGGGTTGAGGCCTCCGGGGCCTATTCACAGGCTCGAGCGTGATCACAAGATAAACTGCGAAGAGCCTGCCGCCAAAAAATCGCTCTGCGTAGATTGTTTTTACCCTGAATATTTATCAAAGAGCCCGGGGTGGATGTTAGCTCGGGCAAATTCCACGCCAGGTTTCTCTTTGAAAAAAACAAAAGCGGCATCGCGGCTGCATCATCGCAAATGGCCTGTCTGCTCGTCGACGGCACGACCCAACCTCGCACGCGACGCACGCCAGCATGCTGCTGCTACTGCCTCCGCTCGGTGGCCATGCAGCGTATTTGGCATGGCCTGGCGGTCCGAGGCTAGCCGCGAGCAGCAGCAGCAGCAGCAGCAGCAGCAGAGCTGCTGTCATGATAGCAGTGTCCAAGCAGCAGGCCGACGCGGAATCTGACGCGAGGCTGATGGCGGCGCTCTTTGGCGGCGGCGGCGGCGGCGAGGGTGGCGGCGAGGGTGGCGGCGGCGACGCGTCCGGTCTCTCGCCGGAGAGCATGATGGATGCTCTGTATGAGGAGGATGAGGCGATCGTCGAGAAAAGCAAGCTCATCCCCTCCCACAAGCAGCTTGACCTAAACGAGGACGGCGAGCCGCTCATGCTGCGATTCGCCTACGTGGACGAGATTGCGTGCATCGGCTGCACCTTCTGCGCCGACGTCGCTCGGGGCACCTTTTACATGGACGAGCAGGCCGGCAGGGCCCGGGTCTTCAACCAGGGCGGCGACGAGCCCGACGTGATCCAGGAGGCGATTGATACATGCCCGGTGAACTGCATCACGTACGTCGACCTGGAGGACTTGCAGATCCTCGAGTCGGAGCGTGAGGGCCAGGTCATAAACCCGGCCTCGATCGGCATCCCCGCGACGTGGTCCGTCTCGATGAATGCCATCCCGCCCACCAAGGCCAAGGCCTTCAACATGGCCGGCTCGCTGGCGTGCTGCAACAACTGCCCCGGCAAAGGGTGCGAGGAGTGCCCGATGTACGGCGTCGGCCGCAATCCCGTCTACCTCGCCCGGCTCGAGGAGCGCGCCGCGAAAAAGGAGGCGAGCGGAGAGGCGGCGAGGGAGCGCGAGGAGGCGGCCGCCGCCGCCAACGTCGGCAAGCTCTTCGCGGCGCCCGAGGAGGAGCTTGAGGAGGAGGAGGAGTTGAGCGGCGTGGTGGTTCCGACCGGCGGCGCTCCCGGCCTGGACGGCTCGACCCTGAACGCGCTGTTTGGGCAGGCGGCGTCCTTCCGCTCCCCCCCCTCTGTCTCTGCGCTCTTCACTGTCTCAGTGAGCGTGAGCTCCCGTCCCTAGTCCCTGAAAGATTCAAGCCACGTCCCCTGTCGCTAGTCGCTTGGGCGTGGATAGGGGTCAGATCCTGGAGTTAAGGTTGCCTACTACTGCTAGGTGGCTGGCTTTGAGGACGAGGAGTTGGAGGACGGGCCTCGGGCGAGCGGCGCTCGGGCGGGCGGGGATGGTGCGGCCGCGGCGGTAGAGACGAGGGAAGAGGCGGCGCGGAGAGAGGGCGTGGCGGCGCGGAGAGAGGACGCGGCGGCGGCGGCCCGCGCGCAGGAGGAGGCGCGCGCGGCGGTGGAGGCGCGCGCGGCGGAGGAGGCGGCGGACGAGGCAGCGAAGGCGGAGGAGCGCTTGGCGGCGCAGGAGCGCTTGGCGGCAGAGGCGGAGGCGAAAGCCGAGGAGCTGCGTCTGGCTGCGGCGGCGGCGGCGAGGGCGGAGGCTGAGCGCTTGGCGGCGGAGGCGAGGATCGCGGCGGAGGAGGCGGCCGCGGCGGAGGCGGCGAGGATAGAGGCGGAGGCGCAGGCGAAGAGGGATGCGATCGCGCTGGCGAGACAGACGACGAAAGACGCGCTCACGCGTTCGATCCGATTGTCTGGGCCGAAGCGCAAGAAGCTGCTCCGCGACCTGCAGGTGCAGTGGCACCCGGACAAGCAGCTGGACAGCGGCGAGGCCACACGTGAGCTCGCGAGTGAGCTGTCGCAGCTCATCAACGAGGCGATGGCCAAGGCCAAGGCGAACGCGAAGGCGAGAGGAGAGGAGTGGTAGCGCGGTAGGATGGCAGTCTCTCTCCCGACGGGGACGGAGGTGCTCTGTGTGACGCACTTACTTGCCCATGGCCATGCAACCATGCCGGTCCGACTCAGAGAGCACATTCTGTCGGCTCAGAGACAATCGTACAAGTTATCGCTGAGGGTTTGGTTCGTTATAGCTAGGGTTTGGTTCGTGAGCTAGCTAGCTGGTGTGCAGGCAGCTTCGGGCGGGAGTTTCGAAAAAGAAAAAGAAGCGAATCATCGCGGCACGCTCCATCGGCCTTGTGAGCGGCTAGGAGTCCTACTTAGCCACATGCTGGTCGAGTCCTGCCGAAGCCTCGTCCTATTCCTCGCGTCTCTCGCGGTGCTGCCCTCTCGCGCCATGCCTGCTGATCTCCTCGGCGATGCTGATCTCCTCGGCGACATCGGGTCTGGCATTGATCTGGCAGCGATGGCGGCGTTCGAGTGCTCGTGCGATTGGACAGAGCGGTTTTATTCCTGCTGGATTGACGACGGCACCGAGTGCTTCAACTACTGCTGTGCGCCGTCTCCTTCTCCTTCTGCGCCTCCGACACCTCCAAGCTACCCGCCTCCGCTTGCCCCTCCATCCGCCCCGCCGCTGCCCACGTGTGAGAGATGCGACGCGGGGACCGAGTGTGGCTACTGCCTCATGCTCACCAGCCGCTGCTACATCTCCGAGGCCTGGACGTGGCGCGATACGTGCAGCAACGTGACCGCGGCGGGAGAGCTCTGCTACGGCGATGGCAGCTGCGGCACCGACAGCGATGTGAACACTTGCCTCTTGGCCCCGCTCGGAGTCGTCGCGACGTACACGCGGGTCGATTGCACGTGGGCTCCGCCGTCGCCTCCGTCGCCGTCCCTCCCGCCGCGTCCGCCAGCGGGGCCGGGGGAGTCGGCCTATCTCCCGGCGCCGCCATCGCCCGCCACGCCCTCCAACGGAGTCCTGGGTCAGGGGGCGGCGGATGACGGAGACAGCGGCTTCTTCGGCCCGATCTCGCTCGCGTGGTCCATCGTCATCTTGGTGTGGGCGGTCCTCACGCCCGTGCTCCTCTGTATCCTGTGCTACTACGCACGGCAGGGGTGGTGGTGCTTCGCAGGTCTCAGCTCTCAGCCTCAGCCTCAACCCCACCCCGCCCCCATCCTCACCCGTCACCCCTCACCCTCATCCTCACCCCTCAACCTCCAACCTCTGCAGGCCGTGCGGCCACTGAGCCGCCGCCAAGCACTAACCTCGGCTTTGGAGGCACCCTCGTGATCGAGGATGGGCCGGCGCCCGGAGGAAAGATGCCGATGCGCACATCGGCGTGAGCAAGCGTTCGGTGCAGCGAACAGCGCTATATCGCGGCAAGAGCCGTAAGTCCATAGGAGCGAGAGGAGAGAGGGGGTGTGCCTCCGCCGTGTACAGACAAATCGGGAGAGGGAGGTCTGAGCTGTACCCTAGACCTCTGTGTACTTGTGCCTCCTATATACCTCTTTGTGGAGAGCTCTGTGACACAGTGACAGTCTCTCATGCCCGCGGCTACAAATATCGTCCGTTACCCGCGCGTGGAGCGTGGTCTCGAGGGCGTGGTGGCAGCCAGCTGGGCTGCCACACATCCCGAGTGTCGTACCCGACCCTAGTGCCTAGAGGTAGAGACGGCCTCTTGATGATGATGTACTTGAACTCGCGCAACGTGTGTGTGCCTCCTTGTACCTTTTTAACACTTTTCGGAGAGCTGCCTCTGAGCTCTGTGCACTGTGGCGGCCATGACTGTGGCAAAGTACCCGCTCGAGACGCAGGCTCTATGTTGCAAACCTCCGCTTTCGCCTCTGGCTCTGCCGTGGGCGTGGCCCGTGCCGCGTGTGCGCCCGAGACGTATGTGTGTGTGTGTGTACCAGTACGTGTGCAGTAAAAATCTCGAGTCTCTCTACTCTCTTCTGTCTCTCGAGTCTCGTGTCCATCCCTCTCTCCAAACGCGATCTGTTTTATTTATTATTTTATTCGTCTGTCCCCATCCTCTGCCTCTCACCCATCTGGAAACACTATTCGCCCCGAGACGAACCCGTTATCTGAATGGCCCTCGTGATCAGTCCCACTCCCACTCCGCCTCTGACGTCTGCTGGTCTGCACATCTGCGCCGACAGCGGTGGCGTTATCGGCCGTGCTGCGCCTCCGTCGTCCGCCCGCAGCCATCAGACCGAGCACAACCCTCTCCTCCGGCGCGGGCGTCCGCACCAGAGTCAACGGCGACGCAGCAGGAGCCGCGGGCGGCGCGGGCGGCGGCGCGGGGGGCTCGGAGCAGCGCTGCGGCTTGGCCCACCTCGCTGTGGCCACTGCCCGGCGGCCGCCTTCGACCGCAGGGGCGGCGGCGCGGAGAGGTGCGGCTGCGGCGCCAGCCGCGGGCGCGGCGCCAGCCGCGGCGGGCGTGGCGCCCGAAGCGGCGGCGCCGCCGCTCTCGAACAAGAGCTGGTTGAGGTCGAGCGTGGGCGGCAGCCATGGGATGGACAGGGGCGCGGGCACGCGATTGCTGCCTCGCCACGCCGCCCACTCATCGGGCGGGAGGCCGACCTGAGCAGCTTGATGAATTCGTTAGGTCGTTCATTACTTTGTCCGTTCGTGGCGAGAGGCGGACCTGCTTGCAGAAATGAACATCGGAGGCGGTGGTCACCGCGCCTGGGCGGGGGGGGGGAGTGGGGAGTGGGGAGTGGGGAGTGGGGAGTGGGGAGTGGGGAGTGGGGAGGGGAGGCGGGGCGAGGGTGCGAGGAGGGCGGGGGAAGTGGATGGGTGCGGCGAGGTGCGGCGAGCGGCGAGCAAGGGGCGCCGAGAGTGGGCGTCACGCCGAGCGCCGCGCACAGCGCCAGCCGCGGCTTGATGCGTCGCTCGAGCGACGCGGCGAGGTGGCGTGGCCGGAGGGTCGGGTCGGGAGGTGACAGCACGCCCGCCTGTGAGGAGGGTCCGAGAAGGTTCAGGGGAGGGGTGCTGCAGAGGCTTCGGGGGTGGGGGGGGGGGGGCACGCCTCGGCGAGGGCGAGGGCGGTGGGACGGAGGTTGGCCTCGAGGGAGAGGGTGAGCACCGCGGGGTACTGCGTTAGGAGCGGTCCGAGGGGCGCCATGCCGAGCGAGCGCAGGAAGTCGCACTTTGGCGCCAGGCTGGACTGCGTCGAGAGGGACAGCAGCGACGGCTGCGAGGAGAGGACGCGGCCAAGCTCCTCGACGCCCTCCCGCTGCAGAAAGGACACCGTCGGCTTGAGGTTCGCCTCGAGCGACAAGTCGAGAGTGATGGCGTGCGAGCGGACAACGCGCCCGACGTCGACGCCGAGCGAACGGAGGTAGTCCGCCGTCGGCCTCAGGTTCGCCTCGACCGAGACGCTGAGCAGCTGCGGGTAGCGGACGAGCGCCGCTACGGCGGCCGCCTCCCCCGCCTCGGAAGCGAGGAAGGCGTGCGAGGCGGCGAGGCGCGCGGGCTCGAGACCAACCACGGGAGGGAAGGACGCAACCAGTCGCCCCAGCGCCGCGGCGTCGAGGCCGAGAGTCCGGCCGAGCCAAGAGAGCGAACGGCGCGCGCCGTCGCCCGAGGCGAGCTGCCGCGCCGGCGACCAGCGAGAGACTCTGTCGACCGCGCGCTGGTCGAGCCCCATCTCGCGCAGCGTCTCGAGCACGGGGGAGGAGGCCTCGGCGCGCCAGAGCAGCGCCTGCGGCTGCCGTGCCACGAACTCTGCCGCCGACCGATTGGCGGCGCACACAAAGGGCTCGAGGTAGTCGAGCGCAGCGCGCAGCTTCACGTCGTCGAGCGTCAGCAGCAGCGGCTCCGCCGCGATCAGCTGCGCGGCGGGAGGGAGCCCCTTTGTGTCTCGCAGCGCGGCGAGCAGCGCGGCCGGCGAATGCGACAGCAGCGGCGGTAGCGCACGCGGCTGCCTCGCCAGCAGCTTTGCGAGGCGGTCGGGAGCAAGGCCCGCCGCGTCAAGCTCGGAGATGGACTGCTCAAGCGCCGCGGCCGATGCCGACATGCCGCCTGGTGCCTTGGCTGCGCGCTCGGCCAGCCGTCTCAAGGCCGCACCTCGCACGCCGATGCGAACGAGCACAGAGCGCACGTCGGCCGCGGCTGTGAGTGCTGACGCTGCGACGAGCGCGGCAGCCGCGAGGAAACACATACTCTCGCTACACCTTCACTGCCACGTCCGTGCCGTGCCAGCCTTCCAGACACTTTGCGAGAATCGTCTGAGATTCCTCTGGCGGCAGCGGCAGTCGGCTGTGGCCGAGCAAGGCAGCGGGGCACGGCGGCGGCTTCCCACGCGCGCGATTTCTTTTTTGGTAGTACTCGCACTACCAAACCTAACCTCGCACTGCAAGATTCCTCCCAGACCCGTTCGTTGTACGTCGAAGTTCCGTCCCTTGGTGGGATGAAAGCAGAAAGGGGGGTCCTCCGCACAAGCCGGCTCCGCCGCTCACGGGGTTTTGCCCTCTCCTGAGTTACCCTAGCCGTCCCAACCTACTGGAGGGGCGGCGGGTCGTCGTCGCCGTCGAGCGCGGGCACGTCGTCCTCGACGACGTCGAAGCTGCACTCGAAGGCGAGGTCCACCCCGGTCACCGACGTCGAGAGCACGTGCACCGCGAGGCGGTACGTCCCCGCCTTGTCCGGCGCCGTGAAGCCGCACTCCTGCGACGGCTCGACCGTCTGCGCGTTCAGGTCTTTGACGACCATCGGCTGCGCCGAGAGCAGCGAGTTCGGCGTCTTTGGCTCGTCCTTGAGCCCCTCGACGTACAGCCTACAGCGAGACGGCTCCGGCACGGCTCCGGACAAGGCTCTCCGAGCAGGCGGCGGGCGCGGCCTACGTCGGCGTTGCCAATACGCCTCGTAGATGCCGTCTTGACTGCTGGCCGGCGGCGGCTCGTCGCCGTCGATGCCAGCATGGTGCCGCAGCAGCGCAACCTTGACACGGAGCTGAGGCGCGCGGGGCGGAGCGGCGTGAGCGGCGGCAGGCGGCGGGCGTACAAGCGCCGCAAGCAGGGGGAAAGCGGGTGGAGGCGGCAGGGCGGCGGCAGAGGCGGCGGATGGAGGGGCAGCGGAGCGCGAGGGGCCGGGACAAACCTGCGCTCCCGCCATCACCTCCTTCGGCTCGCAAAACGCCTCGAGGCGCAGCTTTGGGCGGCGGAGGCCCTCCCCCTTGAGGATCTTCGCCATCAGCACCTGCGCCTCGAGCTCGTCGGGCGACCTACAGGAAGGTTCCAGGAAGGTTCCAGGAAGAGCTCCTCTCCACATCCACCGCGAGCGCGTCGTGCTGCCAGAGCTGGTTCGCGATGAGCGCCGAGGTGCGCGCGACCGCGAGGATGGCGTGCACCCACCGGTACTGCGGCAGGTACATCTGCGCCTATCGCAGACAGCATCCGAGAAGCTTTAGCGGCAGCACGAGGCGGGGGTTGCAGTGCGCGGCAGCAGCATCCGGCGCCTGCACGAGCAGTTTGGTCGCCAGCTGCACCGCGACCGAGGCGTGCTGCGCGGTCGGCCCGTCCAGATCCGCGTCCTTCTCCTTCAGCGCCGCCCGCTGCCGGTTGATCTGCCACAGCATCGCGATGGCGTGGTTGCGCGCGGCGCCGCTCGCTTTGTCCACCCAGTCCATGTCAACCTTCTCCGCACGCATCGCCTCCTCCAGCTCGCTGATCTTGGAAGGCACGTCCGCAGGGATGATCCGGCACATGCACGGCGCGGTCGCCAGCGCAAGCAGCACTTCGTTGACCGGGATCGTCCTGTTCGGGTCCTCTGGAAGCGGCTTGAGCGCCTCGCTCATGTGAGTCACGTCCTCCATCGCCTTCTTCATATGGTCCTCCGAGGGCATCTTCATGCCCGGCGGGAGGTGCTGGGCCATCTGCGAGAGGTCCATCCTGAGTCGACTGGGACAGCGAGCTGAGCTCGACTGTCTGGCTCGGAATGGCCCACGGGAAAAGAATTAAAGCAGCGCCCACGGATTTGGGAATTTCACGGAGAACAAGGGAACGGCAGGCGGCGGCGGCGCAGGACGAGGCAGAAGAGAATGACGCGACAGAGGAGGAAGTGACAAGGGAGAGAACGACGAGAGTGGGACGGCCGCGAGGTGGCATGAAGGTTGCAGCGAGAATCGGCGAGAGACTGCGAAAAGAGATAGGAAGAGGCAGACTCCCTAGGGTGGGCGACGGCTAGCGCATCACACTCCTCTCCTTAAAATCCCTGTGTGGTGGCGGCGTGCCGTCCTCCCATCCCTCCCTTGGGTTGTCTGTTTTCTTTCTTTCTTTCTTTAATTTCACGGATTTGGATTCCACGGATTTGTGCGGCGGAGCACCACACGGAGCCCGCGGAGCCAGCCCAACGGCGAAGACTCGCGCCCGCGCTTTAATCCAAAGAAGAAATCAAACGACAGAAAAGAAACACGCATTTAAGGAATGAAATACAAGAATGTTATCAAAAGTGTCTCTCCCAGCAGACAGGCTCGACACAGCTCACAGGTGCGGACTGGCGCGTGCTAGCACTATCACAAAAGAATTCTGCGCTCGGTTCACAGACCTTGATCCTTGTCCCCGCTCCCGTTCCCCTGCCTGTCTGTGTCCCTGATCGTCCTTACAAGATGCTTGCTGCTCGTGCAGGTGAGATTCTCTTCTTGCAGGTGAGATTCTCTTCTTGCAGGTGGGGATGTCCTTCTCCCACCCCTCGTTTGGTGTGTCCGTTTTATGTGTTTATTTATTATTGAGAAGGAAATGCCTCCTTGGCGCTGCGCGCTGGTCTAGTTCACACGACAGACCATTCCGAATGGAATTTCTGCTATAGCCTCATCTCACATCTGGCCGGGTGGCAAGGTGCATGTTCATGTGCCGTACGCTCACCTGAGGGAGGGGTGTAGAGGATGTAGAGTGTAGAGCGCTGTAGAGCTGTAGAGATGTAGAGCGCTCTGGAGCTGTAGAGCTGTAGAGCTCTACATCCGGCGCGTGACGATGTGAGTCCGATGATTGTAGAGCGATGTAGAGCGCGATTTTGCTGTAGAGTCTGTTGTAGAGGCTCTACAGCAAAACCGCGGGAAGGCAGTGACTCAAAGAGGTCGAGCCGCACTAATGGGGTGTCTCCGAGCTTACTGGAGCTCTGATGGACGGCCCTGACTATCCCTGACACACAGAGAGTCACTCTGACGGCACACAACACCCTATAACTGCGTCATGACCAGCCTGCCATGCGTCGCCGGTGCCGCATTCGTCGCTGTGCTCTTCTTTAGCAGGCGGTGGACTGTCGGCTGCGAGGACGGTCGCATTTGCACGAGGCGAGAGGCGAGCATTGCTGCGCGTTGCATGCGCCATGACTCGCGCCAGCGCGTGCGGGAGGAGCAGGCTGACCGTTGAGTTGAGGGAGGCGAGTTGCGCTGGCCACTATCGCTACGCCGAGCCGAGCTGACGCGCCGAGGCGCCGGCCAGTTCGCCGCTTATGATGTAGAGTTTGTTGTAGAGATTTCACGTTGTAGAGCGCCTCTACATCGCTCTACAACGCAGGCGCCTCGTCACGCGGCGGATGTAGAGCTCTACAGCTCTACAGCGCTCCAGAGCGCTCTACATCTCTACAGCTCTACAGCGCTCTACACTCATCACTCTACATCCTCTACACCCTCCCTCAGACGCTCACTCGGGAGTGTGTCAGCCCAGCGCTGAGTGTCTTGTGAGTTTCTGTGTTCAGTCTGTGACTGTTTTTCGCTCCAGCGTGCCGTCATCTCCTCTTCTCCTGTGGCCCGCGTCCACTACACCGCGCTGGTGTCTGACTGTCGCTGTGGTGTCCTGTCCGAACTGGAACCTTCGATACATACAAATTGTATCATAAAACATACGGACTAAGGTAAGGTAAACATCCGTCCACACACACACAACTCACAAGCGGTGGTGGGGCAAGGTGGTGGTGGGGCGAGACCCTCGCGCCTCCGGCGCGGGTTGCAGGTCCTCGATGCAGGTCCCACAGCGCCACAGGTCGGACGCACCTGGCAGGTGTGGGACCCTGGCATGAGCCATGACGGACCCAGGAGGGGACTACTGGACACTGGCTGGTATAGGAGGTGTCTTCCCATTCCCTCGAAAAAGCCCCCCCCCCCCCCCCCGCGGCCCTCTCTCTGCACAGCGCTACAAAAGGGGCGCGAGGCGTAGGTTACCTCTTCGCGTGTGGCGTATAGCCGGCGTAGGACAAGGACAAAGAACCTCGACAAAGAACCCTGCACAAAGATCGCACGGGCGGGGGGACCTGTTTCCTATCCTTTTTACACGACCCATTCACCCCCATCTCACAGTAGAGAGGTGTCCATTTCGTCATTCGTGTCGTAGCTCGTGTCGTAGGCGCGTCCACGTTACCTTCTTTCTACGGAGGACCCCAGTGCAGTCACTGTGTGATCAGAGCTCCTCCTTCCCCCCGCCACCCGCGGCGCCTCCCTCTGCGCCCGCGCCGCACCCCTCCTGCTGGAACATGTCCGCGAGGGCCGAGAGCCCCTGCCCCTGGCCGCTCGCCGACGCGGCGTACCAGAGGTTGACCGCGAGGTTTCGCCTCGCGCCCCGGGAGGTCGAAATGACGGCGTGGTGCCAGCCGCGCGGCAGGAAGAGTGCGTCGCCCCTCCGCACCTCGCAGAGGGAGGGCGACGCCCTTGCGACGGCGGGGTGCGTGCTCGCCACGTCGTCCGCAAAGACGTTGAGCTTGGCGACGTTGTGCCGCACCTGAATGAATGAGGGACTCCATTCACACAGTCATGCATTCGTCCATAGCTTGGCGACGTTGTGCCGCACCTTGTCGAAAGTGGTCTCGTTGGTCACGCCGCCGGCCTACGCGCTGTGAGCACACCAACCTCGGGGCGGGAAGAGCGGCCTTGTGCGGCGTATTCAGAGCACCGCGTGAGCACGAGGGTACGAATACAGCGAATACAGCGGAAGACGTGTCCTCACGAGCGCTAGTCGGAGTACAAGAATACGCCTTCCGCGTCTAGTGCCGCCGGCCGCGAGGTCGAAGCCGTGCCTCCGGATGGTGGCGGCGCCGTAGTAGAGGTGCTTCGCGTCGGCGGGCGGGAAGAGCAGCGCGCGCTTCGTGCCGCGGAGCTGGTAGAGTAGGATATCGTACAGGTCAGAGTATTATTAGTACTATTATCATCATTACTATCTCCACCTGGTAGAGCAGGTTGTCGTACAGGTCAAAGTGGAGCCCGTTCTTCATGAGCGCGCCGCCCACCCACAAGTTGGCGATGGAGAGCGACGAGGGCGGCAGCGCGGTAGAGAGGCAGACCCCGCGCAGCAGCGGCGGGAGGCGGAGCAGGTTGAGCTGCGCGAGGTACGCCTCGAATGGGACCGCCTCCGCCGCCTACAGACACCAGGGCGGGCTCCAAACGGGCCCCGCAAGGGCGCGATCGAGGCAAACCCGCCTCCGCCGCCTCGCCAGTCAGCTTGAGGAAGTCGGCCACGTACACGGAGCAGCGCGCCGGCTCCACGAGCGCGTCGGCGGCGGCGTCGAGGGTGGGGTGGGTGGTGGTGGGCATCGCCTAGAAGGCTCCTAGAAGGCTCCTAGGAAGGCTCCTAGAAGGCTCCTAGAGGGGGGGGGGGGGGGTTGGGCATCGCCATCATCTCGACGAGCGTCTCGCCCACCGCGGCTGCGATGGCGGCGTCGTCCCACGCGTTCGCCGCCCAGCCGGCGGTCGCGTTCCGCAGCAGCAGAGGCCCGCCGGTGAGCAGCGCCTGAGGAAGGTTCCGGGAAAGCTCGGGGAAGGGTCCGAGCAGGTGCCAACGCCCCGAACACGAGCACGGCGCCTCTGGCCCCGCCGCCAGCACAGCCTCGAGCGTCGACTCGGAGCAGCGCGGCGCCTCCTCGAAGATGGGCGGGTACCTCGCCTCCGCACCCACCTCCGCACCCACCTCCGCACCCGCCCCCGCCCCCGCCCCCGCCAGCCTCGACTCGCCGAGCTTGGCGGAGTCTCCGCCGCCGCCGCCTCCGCCGCCGCCGCCGCCTCCGCCGCCGCCTCCGCCGCCGCCTCCGCCGCCGCCGCCGCCTCCGCCTCCGCCGCCGCCGCCGCCGCCGCCTCCTCCGCCGCCCACCTCGGCCGCCCTGCCCGCCGACTTGCGCTGCGCTAGCCAGTCGCGCAGCGCAGTCGCGGAGCTGACCGCCGCCTAGAAGGTTCCTAGACGGCTCCTGGAAGGTCCTGGAAGGCTCCTAGAGGGCGGAGCTGACCGCCGCCTCGTCCGCCGTGGAGGCGGCGGCGAAGGCCTCCGCGGCGGCGGCGGGGTCGGAGGCCTTGAGCGCCGAGGCGAGGCCCGCCAGCGCGTTCGCTTGCTTCGGGTTGTGCTGCAGCGCCTCGCGAAAGGCGGCGGCGGCGGCGGCGGTGTCGCCGGCAGAGCGCAGGGAGAAGCCGAGGGCGGCGTGCGTGGCCTGCAGGGAGACGCCCATGACATGTCCGGGACATGTCCGCACCTCAGCCATGTCTCCGCGCCCGTCGCCCGCCGCGTCGGTCGGGTCGAGGGCGAGGGCCGCTCGCAGGGCCGCCGCCGCCTCGCCGTGCCTGCCGGACACGCCAAAGACACGTCACGTCTTCGAGCTCCGCCGCCGCCGCCGCGTCGGTCGGTTTTTGGTCTGTCGTCTGTCGGTGTCTGTCGGTGTGTCTGTCGGTGTGGCGGTCTGTCGGTCTCTAAGAGACCCAAGGAGCAAGAGACGCTGGCCCGGCGCCTGCTCGCCGCATCGAGCGCGAGGCCGAGGTTGGAGTGGGCCGCCGCCCGCCGCGGCGAGAGCGCGATGGTCGCCTGGTAGGCCGCAACCGCCTCCTCGCTCCTCCCGAGGGAGGCGAGCGCGTTGGCGCGGTTGTACGTCGCGTCCGCGTCCGCCTAGTACCATGCCTCCAGAGTATCGAATCCAGTGTGGGTTCAGGTCTTCCGGTGGTGGTGTCCGCGTCGGCCGGGTTGAGCTCGAGCGCCGCGGCAAAGGCGTCGGCGGCGCCGGCGTGGTCGCCGCCCATCGCGAGCGCGTTGCCTCGCCCAAAGTGCGACTCGAAGTCGCGCGGGTTTAGCCTGACGGCGGCGGCAAACGCGTCCGCCGCCTCGGCGTGCCGCGCGGCCTTGTGCAGAGCAACGCCGCGGTTGTGGTGCGCGTCGGCGTTGGCCGGGTAAGCCTTCAGCACGCGGTCAAACATGCCGAGCGCCTCGTCGAGCCGCCCGAGGCCCTGCAGCGAGAGGCCGAGGTTGGTCGCCACCGCGAGCTGCTGCGCAGCGGGCACGGCGCCGGTGGCGATCGCAGCCTCGTAGGACTCAATTGCCTCGCTCCATTTTCCAGCCGCCTGGAAGCTCGAGCCGCGCTGCGCGAGAGAGACCCACTCGGGCGCAGTCTGCTGCGCAGCGGCGGAAGCGAGAATCGAAAACAGGAGGGCGCCGGAGCAGCCCGCGGGCCTCATGTCGACTCTCAGTCGAAGCTGGTCGCGAGAGGTGGGATGAGGGAGGGCGAAAAAAAGATGAACACACATAAAGAAAAAACACGAAAAAGAAA